TCACCTGGCACCCTGCACCCTCACCTGGATCCCTGCACCCTCACCTGGGCCCCTGGATCATCACCTGGCACCCTTCACCCTCACCTGGGGCCCTGCACCCTCACCTGGCTCCTTGTGCCCTCACCTGGCTCCCTGCACGCCTGGATTCACTCCCTGCACGCCTGATCTCACTTCCTGCACCTTCACCCAGCTCCCCGTGTCCCTGGATTCACTCCGTGTATCCCTGGATCCACTCCCTGCACCCCCTGGATTCACTCCCTGCACCCCCTGGATTCACTCCCTGTATCCCTGGATTCACTCCCTGCACCCCCTGGATTCACTGCCTGTATCCCTGGATTCACTCCATCCTGGGGCTCCATCCCGTGGGACTCCCAGTGCAGATTCCCTGGATCCGGGACACGCTCCCCTCATTCCCACTCACCCAGCGGATTCCCTGGATGCAGCGGGGGGTTCCCCTCATTCCCACTCACCCTGTGGAATTCCTGGATCCAGGACACGCTTCCCCCCATCCCCACTCACCCAGCGGATTCCCTGGATGCAGGACAGGCTGTCCCCCATCCCCACTCACCCAGCGGATTCCCTGGATCCGGGACAGGCTGTCCCCCATCCCCACTCACCCAGTAGATTCCCTGGATCCGGGACAGGCTGTCCCCCATCCCCACTCACCCAGCGGATTCCCTGGATCCGGTACAAGCTGTCCCCCATCCCCACTCACCCAGCGGATTCCCTGGATGCAGGACAGGCTGTTCCCCATTCCCACTCACCCAGCGGATTCCCTGGATCCGGGACAGGCTGTTCCCCATTCCCACTCACCCAGCGGATTCCCTGGATGCAAGACAAGCTGTCCCCCATCCCCACTCACCCAGCGGATTCCCTGGAGCCAGGACTCGCTTCCCCCCATCCCCACTCACCCAGCGGATTCCCTGGATGCAGGACAGGCTGTCCCCCATCCCCACTCACCCAGTAGATTCCCTGGATCCGGGACAGGCTGTCCCCCATTCCCACTCACCCAGCGGATTCCCTGGATGCGGGGGGCGCTCCCGGCCGTCCCCTCCAGCCGCACCTCGTAGCTGGAGCTGCGGAACAGGCGCATCCTCCGGCGCAGCCCCCCGGGCCGGCTCCCCCCGGGGGGGTTCGGGGGGGCGGCTGCGGCTCCGCTTCGGGGCTCCAGCCCGGCCCGCGGGGGCTGCCCCGGGACCCCCCCCCGGCCGCTGCCACCGCGCCGGCCCCGAAACCTTCCCGGGGGGGGGAGAATTTGGCGGTCCCGGGGCTGCTCCGGAGCCTCCGGGACGAGGGACGGGCTCGGGACCGGCCGGGACAGCCCCGCCCCGGGGGGAGGGGAAGGGGGGAGGGCGCGGGGGAGCCCCGCCCGCAGCCCCTCCCCTGCTCCGACGGGAGTTTAACTCAGTTTTTAATCATTCTTTTTATTTCTTTCTTTTATTTTAAGTTTTACTTTCGTGGGGTTTTTTTGTTTATTCTGATTTTTCTTTTTTTTCAAAATATTTTAATTTTGGTTTTGATTTTTAAAATTTTTTAAAATTTTTATTTTAATATTTTTTCTTTATTTTAATATTTAAATTTTATTTTCATATTTACATTCAATTTTTTCTTTATTTTCATTTTTAAATTTTATTTTCGTTTTTACGCTTATTTTTTTTCTTTTTCTTTATTTTTAAATTTTATATTAATTTTTACTTCGATTTTTTCCCTTTATTTTTATTTTCGATTTTTTTGGTTCGTTTTGTTTTGTGTTTTTTTCTTCTTCTTTTTTTTTTCTTTTCCTTACTGCTCTGAAACCACACTGGTTTATTCTTTAATGCTGCTACTTCATGTTTTTCTCCTCCCCAAGCCGTTTCTTGGCCCAACCTTCCCTAATTCATATTTTCATTACCCTCACTGATGCTCCTTCCCCCCTCACATCATTATTCCATCTCGGTTTTGTCCCTCCCCCAACCCCCTGGCCTTAAATAATCCTCTCATTCGATGATTTGGAACTCAACAGGCGGCTCCTTCGCAGCTTTTTTTCACTCCTGATCGGCCCAGAACGATCGTGGAACCGCCTCAAATCCTGATGGTTTGGGGGCTGCTTTGCTGGGAGCAGCTCCGGGTGTGGCTGGGGATGGCCCTGGATTGTTATCCAGTCTGGGATCTTTGGATCATCCCCCTGGATTAGGGCTCGAGCAGGACTGGGGGGGCGTGGAGGAGATGCTGCTCTTTGGGGAGGAGGGAAGGAGGGAGGGAGGGATTTTGGTCTCCCCGGCGTTTACACCTCACTCCCCTCTAATTATCACCCGGAGAAAGAGCGGGGACTCATCCTGTTCTCCCGGTCTTTCCATCCCCCCTCGGCTGCTTCCTGATTCCCAGATTTGCTTCTCTGAGGAGCCGGGGGCGCCTCAGATCCCAGGCCAGCCCAGAGCTCGACACCAGCCCTCTGGAAAACCACGGAAAAGTGGGATTTGCTCGGCTTGGAAAAGCCCTCCAAGGTCAGCGAGTGCCGGGCAGGGGAGAAGGAAAATCAACGTTTCTCCCTCCCTTCTCACCAGGGTCTAAATCCCACTTATTCCCACTGGCGAAATGATCCTTGGAAGGAGTTTGGGGGGAAAAAAAAGGACGAATTCCTCTGTTCCCAGGCCTTGGAAAAAACAAACAGAGCTCCCTCCCAATCCCGAATGGTTTTCCTCCTTTTGTTCCCAGCTCCAGGCACGGCTCAGCTCTCCCACCTACGGGGAGGAGGAGGAGGAGGAGGAGGAAGGAGATCCCTCAGCCGGAAAATCCGGCTGTTTCCCACTTTCCAGCTGTTGTTGGGACTCTCTAGGAGGGAGGGAAAAAAAAAACAAACCAGGAAGATGAGTCTGCTCCGGGCAACCCAGGCAGGAGGTGCTGGAGAGAAGGGCCAAGGTCCAAAGCTCTGGAAAATCCAGGTGGATCCAGGGCTGGGAGCAGAACCAAGGATCCAAAAAAGCCTGTTTTGGGTCAAAAGGTGAACAAACAGCGTTAGGATGAGAACTGGAGGGGGGAAAATCCCAAGTGGTTGAACAGGAAGGTCTGTATTCCCACCTGGAGAGGTTGTTCCTCCTCTCCCTGTGCTCATTCCCATCTCATCCAGCTTTGCTTGCCAGAGGTTCCCACCCCTTGGAGCAGGACCACCCCGAGCTGGTCAGGGCGGGGATATTGGGAAGGAATTCCTGGCTGGGAGGGTTGGGGAGGCCCTGGAATGGATTTCCTAGAGAAGCTGCTCCATCCCTGGACGTGTCCAAGGCCAGGCTGGAGCCACCAGGGATGTCCTGGATTAGGGATGTCCAAGCAGGCAAAGCTCTCAGTGAGGGACCTTCCCCTCATTTCATCACCCCAAATCCTCCTGGATGACGTCCTGCCATGGCCTTATCCCCCCTGAACCCGTTTTAAACCTTGATCATCCCCCCCATCCCCCCAAAAAAGCCAACCCCAAATCTTTGTTTCTGCTCAGCTTGGACACATTTCCCAAACCCTTCCCCAAACCCTTGCAGGCAGCAGAGTCAGCAGGGTGGGGGTGACACCACTCGAGTCACCTCCAAACTCCCCCCAGGGGAATTGGCAGGAAGAGAGTCAGGGCTGGAGCTGATTCCACCTGTTTTTTGTCCTGGAAGAGCTGACTGGGAGCTCCGGGGACGTGCGGGAGCAGCCGAATTCCTGGGGGTGGCTGCGCAAACAGCAGGAAGAGGGAGGGTGTTTTTTTTGCTGATCTCGAGGTTTTTCCGCTTGAAAAGGCACCATCAGCGCAGGTGGAGGCAGCCAGGACCTGCCTGAGGGAAGGGGAGAGGGAGGAGGAGGAGGAGGAGGGAAGGGGAGATGGAGGACTAGGAGAGAAAGGGGAGATGGATGAGGAGGAGGGAAGGGGAGATGTTGTGCCAGGAGAAAGGGAAGGAGCTGCTGCCACCTAGAGCAGGGACTGCTCCAGCTTTCCCACTCCTGGGAATATCATCTTGGAAGAGCCTGGATCGGGAAAACCCAGGAAAACCCACCAGGAGCTGGGACGGAGCAGGGAGAGGATCCCCAGGCTCCGTCCGGCCCCGCAGCCCCCCAGGAACGCCACTCATTAGGGACGACAAATAAGGCGGGAAAATCCCATTCCTGCCCCCATCCCCACTGGAATTCTCTTCCCCTGTGTCCCCCACGGCCCCACGCACGCGCCCCCAGCCCCCCCTTGTCCCCACCACGTCTCCCCATTGTCCCCTCCGCGTCCCCCCCTTAGCGCTGCCCTCGGTCCTCCCGCCCGCCAGGGGGCGCGCTGTGTCGGGGCGTGGGCGTGTCCATGTTTGGGTGGGCGTGTCCCGCTCCCAGTGGGCGTGTCCTTGTCCCGGTTCCCTGTCCCGGTTCCCCGTCCCGGTGCCCGGTGGGCGATTCGCTGTCCCGGTTCCCTGTCCCGGTGCCACGGGCGGTCCCGGGGGCGGTTCCCGGTCCCTGTCCCGGTGGGCGCTGCCCGGGCTGTGTCCCGGTTCCCTGTCCCGGTCCCCGTGGGCAGTACCGGGGGCGGTATCCGATGCCACGGGCAGTACCGGGGGGATGTCACCGGGGCACTGCCCGGGGTGTGTCCCGGTGCCGTGGGCGGTACCGGGGCGGTATCCGATGCCATGGGCGGTACCGGGGGCGGTTCGCTGTCCCCGTGGGCGATACCGGGGGTGTGTCCTGGTCCCGGTGGGCAGTACCGGGGGTCTGTCCCGGTACCACGGGCAGTACCGGGGGCGGTTCCCGGTGCCACGGATGCTCCCGGGGCTGTGTCCCGGTGCCTGTCCCGGTGCCACGGGCGGTCCCGGGGCTGTGTCCCGGTGCCTGTCCCGGTGCCACGGGCAGTACCGGGGGCGATTCCCGGTCCCGGTGGGCGGCCCCGTGGCTGTGTCCCGGTTCCGTGGGCGGCCCCGTGGGTGTGTCCCGGTTCCATGGGCGGCCCCGTGGGTGTGTCCCGCTTCCATGGGCGGCCCCGTGGGTGTGCCCCGCTCCCGGTGGGCGGTCCCGGCGGGTGGTGCGGGTGACACGGGCAGGGCGTGTTGTCGGCGGCCGCCCCGGTGCCCGCCCGGTCGGCCATGGCGCTGAGCGCGGCCCTGGCGCTCCGCGTGGCCTACGCGGCGTTCGGGGCGCTGAGCGGGCTCTCGGTGTTCTGCGCCTGGAGCGTCGTGCCCGCCCTGCGCCAGCCCGGAACGGCGGCGGCGGGGGGGCTGTCGGGTACGACCCGGGGGACACGGGGATGGAGGGGGGGACACTGCCCAAAGGATGGGGGGGCTGTCGGGTACGGCCCGGGGGACACGGGATGGAGGGGGACACTGCCCAAAGGATGGGGGGGCTGGCGGGTACGGCCCAGGGACACGAGGATGGAGGGGGACACTGCCCAAGGATGGGGGACACGGGAAGTGGATGGGGACTGGCAGGTACAGCCCAGGGACTGGGGACGGAGGGACTGGCGTACGGCCGGGGACACGGGAGCGGCACGGGGACACAGGAACGGGATGGACACAGGCACGGGGGCACTGCCCCACGGATGGGACACCGCCCACGATGGGGACACCGCCCCACGGATGGGGGACACGGCACGGAGACAGGACACGGAATGAGCAGGAGACACTGCCCCACGGATGGGGGACACAGCACGGGGATGAGACACGGAATGTGGATGGGGGACTGGTGGGTACGCGCCCAGGGGTGACACGGGAACGGGGGATGGAGGAAACTGCCCCAGGGATGGGATGGGGGTCAGTGGGGTTGATAGACCCTTCCCTGGGGATGGGGGAGCTGGAGAGACTCTTCCCTAGGGCTTGGGTGGGTCAGTGGGGTGGGGAGACCCTTCCCTAGGTCGGGGGGTCAGTGGGGTGGGGACACTGCACCAGGGATGGGGGGGTCAGGGAGGTGGGGAGACCCTTCCCTGGGGATGGGGGAAGGTGACAGGGGGTGTCAGGGTGCAAATAGGGCTGGGACCACCCTTCCCTAGGGTGGAAATAGGGCTGGGGGCGTCTCAGGGGATGTTGGGGGTGTCAGGGGGCTGGGGAGACCCTTCCCTAGGGATAGGGGGTCAGTGGGGGCTGGGAAGACCCTTCACCCGGGTTGGGAGGGCTCAGAAGGGTGTGAGGGGTCAGTGGGGCTGAGGGGGCATCAGAGTGCTGGTCCCAGAGCTGCTGGGATCAGAATGCTGGGATCAGGATCAGGATACTGGGATCAGGATCAGGATGCTGGGATCAGGGTCAGGATGCTGGGATCAGGGTCAGGATTCTGGGATCAGGGTCAGGATTCTGGGATCAGGGTCAGGATGCTGGGATCAGGGTCAGGATTCTGGGATCAGGGTCAGGATGCTGGGATCAGGATGCTGGGATCAGGATGCTGGGATCAGGATCAGGATGCTGGGATCAGGGTCAGGATGCTGGGATCAGGATCAGGATTCTGGGATCAGGACCAGGCTGCTCCTGACAGAATAACTCCATGTTTTGCTGTTTATTTGGGCATTTCTTTGGCCTCCCTTGCCCCTTTATTGTCCCTCCCTGGGATCTCTGTCCGGGTCCTGCTGGCTGAGCTTGTTTCCCACCTGCTTCTTTTCCTTTTCCTGGAGTTTTGGGATCCTTTCAGTGTTTGATTTTCGAGGGAATTCCCCCCCTTGGGAATGCTGTGATTGGAGAGTGTGTGGGGGTAAATCCAGGCAGATCCGTGGTTTTTGGGGAGGGCTGGGAGGGTTTGGGGTTATTTTAATCCAGGGTGTAACTGGAGCTGCCAAACTCAGCTGCTGGCTCGGGCTTTGCTGCTGGGACAAGGGCAAAGAGCTGCCCTGGGGGGGAGAGGAGATTTTGGGGGGGCAGATTTTTCACCTGAGGTGGAAAACCCGAAGGTCCTGCAGTTCCTCATCCCAGGCTTCAAACAGGGCATGACTTTTGTTTCCTTTTCCAGCAAAAACTGGTCCAAAACTTGATTTTTTTTTTTAAGAAGCTGTGCCAGCTGAGGGCTGGGCTGGGCTGGGCTGGGCTGAACTGAATAATTTGGGACAGGTTGGACTGGAAAGGTTGGGTTGGGACAGGTTGGGTTGGATAATTTGGATTGGGACAGGTTGGGTTGGGACAGGTTTGGTTGGATAATTTGGATTGGGACAGGTTGGGTTGGGGCAGGTTGGGTTGGATAATTTGGATTGGGACAGGTTGGACTGGGACAATTTGGATTGGATAATTTGGACTGGGACAGGTTGGACTGGAAAGGTTGGACTGGACAGGTTGGATTAGATAGGTTGAATAATTTGGGTTGGATAATTTGGACTGGGACAAGTCCTGGGATCTGGAGACACCCCCTGGGATAACAGGAAGGGAGGGATGTTCTTCCCCCTCCCCCTGCCCGTGGTGCCCCCAGCTGGGTGGGACCAGCCCAGGCCCCCAGGGTCTCCCAGGGCATTTTCTGCTGAGTCACAGCGATATTTTGGGATGTTTTTGGGATGTTTTGGCTGCCCTGGAGCGCTGGGTCAGGGCTCGAGGCACTCACGTGCTCCTCCCACCCCAGCAGCAGCACTTTTTGGGGTGGGAACACCCAAAAACTTGACTCAGCAGCTCAGATAAATCCTGCTGAGTCACCTGAGGTGGCTCAGGGGGGTTGTGCTGACGGGGGAACACCAAGTTCCCCTTTTTTGGGGGAAGTTGTGGGTTGGGATGACTGGAGGGGGAAGTGGGGGTGAGGAAGGGCAGGTTTGGGGAGAGGTGACACTACAGGGCTGGTCCTTGGGCAGCCCCACAGTTCCAAAAGGTCTCCTTGGGATCATCCACAGAGCCCCAGGGGCTGGAGATCACCTTGGGAACCCCAGGATGGGAATCCTGAGGGTCCCAAGGCAGGGAATGTGGCTGGGGAGGGGAATCCTGGAGGGGATGGGGTGGTAGGGCCTGTCCTGGCTCAAACCCACCCTGTCCCATCCAACCTTTCCAGTCCAACCTTTCCAACTCAACCTGTCCCAATCCAACCTTTCCAGCCCAACCTGTCCCACTCCAACCTGTGCCATCCAACCTTCCCAACCCAACCTGTCCCACTCCAACCTTTCCAACCCAACCTGTGCCAACCCAGCCTGTACCATCCAACCTGTGCCAATCCACCTGTCCCATCCAACCTTTCCAACCCAACCTGTGCCATCCAACCTGTCCCACTCCAACTTTTCCAACTCACCCTGTCCACTCCAACCTTTCCAACTCAACCTGTCCAATCCAACCTTTCCAATCCAACCTTTCCAGTCCAACCTGTGCCACTCCAACCTGTGCCACTCCAACCTGTGCCAATCCAACCTTTCCAACCCAACTTGTCCCATCCAACCTGTGCCAATCCACCTGTCCCATCCAACCTGTCCCACTCCAACCTTCCCAATCCAACCTGTCCCACTCCAACCTGTCCCACTCCAGCCTTTCCAACCCAACCTGTCCCACTCCAACCTGTCCCACTCCAGCCTTTCCAACCCAACCTGTCCCAGTCCAGCCTGTGCCAACCTGGATCCCACTGAATCCCAGTTGCTCCCACCTTCTCCCAGCTGCTCCCAGTTGCTCCCACTTTCTTCCAGTTGCTCCCAGTTGCTCCCAGTTGCTCCCAGTTGCTCCCAGCTGCCCCCAGCTGCTCCCAGGTGCCCGGGGGTGGCAGTGCCGGCCGTGCCCACCCCCGGGTGCCCCCCTGACGGCCTCGCTCTGCCCCGGGCAGGTGTCCTGGCGCTCTGGGCCCTTCTGACCCATGTGATGTATGTGCAGGATTACTGGAGGACCTGGTTAAAGGGCCTCAGGTTCTTCCTGGGCGTCGGGATCTTCTTCTGCGCCCTCTCCCTGCTGGGATTCTGTGCCTTCCTCGCCCTGGCCATCACCCAGCACCAGTGTGAGTACTGGGGGCACTGGGAGGGGGTTTGGGGGACCAGGGGGGGGCTCTGGTTCCATTTCTGAGGCCACAGTTCCAAAGGGTCAGCCCTGGATTGGCAGTCCCAGGTTCTGCAGGGCTGGTTTGCCCAGGGAACAGCTGGAATTCCAACCAGGATTCAGATTGGGGTCCCAGCAAGGATTTCAGACTGGGATTCCAGCAATGAAGTGGGATTCCAGCAGGAATTTAGACTGGAATTCAAATGAGAGTTCAGACTGGGATTCCAGCAAGGATTTCAGACTGGGATCCCAGCAATGAATTGGGATTCCAGCAGGAATTAAAACTGGAATTCCAACATGAATTTAAACTGGAATTCCAACAAGAATTTAAACTGGAATTCAAACTGGAATTCCAGCAAGAATTCAGACTGGGAAAACAAATGAAGAACTGGAATTCCAGCAAGAATTCAGACTGGGATTCCAAAAACGTATTGGGATTCCAACAGGAATTCAGACTGGGATTCCAGTAAGAATTCCAACTGGGGTTCCAACAATGAATTGGGATTCCAACAAGAATTTATAACTGGAATTCCAACAAGAACTCAAACTGGGGTTCCAACAAGGAACTGGGATTCCAACAAGAATTTAAAACTGGAATTCAAACTGGAATTCCAACAAGAATTCAGCCCATGTGCTTCCAGCTGCAAAGCTCCCAGGAGCTGGGAATGAGGGAGAGATGGGATTTTAAAGCTCCCAGGAGCTGGGAATGAGGGAGAGATGGGATTTTAAAGCTCCCAGGAGCTGGGAATGAGGAATAAAAAGGCATTTTAATGCTCCCAGGAGCTGGAAGTAAGGGACAAGTAGGATTTTAAAGCTCCCAGAGGCTGGGAGGCCGAGGGAGAAATGGGGGTTTTAAGGCTGGGAGCGAGGGGTAAACGGCATTTCAGAGCTCCCAGGAGCTGGGATTGAGGGCAAACCGGGGATTTTAACCACACCCCTGGCTTTTCCTTGTCCCTGGCAGCCCTGACTGACCCCAGGAGTTATTACCTGTCGAGTGTGTGGAGCTTCATGGCCCTCAAATGGGCCTTCCTGCTCAGCCTCTACTCGCGCCGCTACCGCGCCGAGTTCGCCGACATCAGCATCCTGAGCGACTTCTGACCCCCCCCGGGCCCTTCTGACCCCCCCAGGACCCCCCAAATCCCGGGAAGGGGCAGCAGGGAGCCCTGGGGAGGAGCTCCCACAGAGAGGGGCTGGTCCTGTTGGCTTTTCCCCCCCCGGGGGTGTTGGAGGAGGGAGGGAGGGGAAGGACTTGGGTGCTCCTCAGGTTTTAAAGGGGGGGGGGGTTGGAGCTTCTGCCACCCCAAAATCGTGGCCAGGGGGGTGTCCCAGGGGTGGGGGGGCAGAGCAGGGATAAGGGGAGCTTCTTGGAGGAAGAGGGAGCTGAGCCTGGGGAGTTTGGCTGGGAATCTCCTGCTCCTGCATCTCCAGGGGGGTTTCTTTTCCCACCCAAAGCCTCCAGGACCTGCATTTCCCGGGGGTTTCTTTTCCCACCCCAACATCCCCAGGACCTCCCAGCCTGGTCCTGCATCTCCAAGGGGTTCCTCTTTCCTTTTTAAATTGCTTTTCCTGGCTCCAAACCCCTCCCCCGAGCAGCTCCTCCCCTCCAATCCCGGTGTTTTATCCCTGGAATTCCTCTTCCTCCTCCTCAGCTTTCTCTGTGTGTGTGTAAATATCAAATCCCGTTTTTTCCCGGTTTATTCCCGTTTTTTCCCAGTTTGCACCTCGGGGGAAGGTTTGGGATGTGGGGGGAAGGTTTGGGATGGGGTGGGATGGGTTGGGATATCCTGGAATTCCACGTGCCAAGCCCTGCACAAATACACCAGTACAGCCCCGACTGCCTGCCCATGGTTTTCCCTGGGAATTCCAGGAATCCCGAGGCTCTCCCTGCCTCGGGATCACCTTGGGAAGGGCAGTGGGAGGGGAAAAAGAGGGGGGGATTTGGGGCAGGCGAAGGATTTTGCAGCTGGAAAAAGGAATCCCCTTTAAAAATACAAATTTTTCTTTTAAAAACCTGCTACAAATGAAAGTTTTCTTTCAAAAATAAATAAATAATTTAAAAAATTGTGCTTTTGAAATAAATGGGAAAACCCTATTTGGGGGACAGAGACTCTGGTTTCCAACCTTAATTTCTTTGGGTTCTGGTTGGTTGGTTTGTTTGTTTGTTTTTTCAGAAGGTAAAAATATTTTTTAAAAATTATTTTTAAGTGGTGCTTAAGGAATAAATAAATAAATAAATCCTTATATCCAGAACAAGCAAAATCCTTAAAACAGGCAAAACATCACCCTAAGGAAAGGATTTGAACTGGATTTTGGGGGTTTTTCAGTGGTCACAGTCGGGATCACAGATGGGTTTAGCAAAGACCCAGAAATTTGGGGGGGTGGGAGTGTTTGGGGGAAGAAAAAATGGACCTGGGGATGTTCAGACCTTTCAAATCTTTGTGGTTTTGGTGGAGGAAAACCCCCAAAAACCATCCCCACAAACCACCCTCCCCATCCCTGGGGTCCCTCTTGGAGCCCAACCAGAGACACACAAATGGTTTATTTTTTTTTCCAAAGTCCTTTTTTTTGTGTGTGTGTGTGGTTTGGTTTTTATTTTTTTTTCTTTGTTTTTTTGTGGGATTTTTTGCTTTTTTAGTTTTTTTTTTTTTAATTTCTCCTTTTTGTTGTTTCTTTTTGGTTTTTGGTTTTTTTTTTTTACAAAATCTCCTCCCTGTGCTGGACAAAAAAAAGAATCTCCTCCTGCTGCAGCAGGACCCGGCCCTGCCCCCCCTCCCCTTTGTCCCACCCCCTCCCCAAAATCCCAGCAGGGCCCCATCCTGGTGGGATAACCCTTGGGGACACCAGTGGGGGGGGGACACACACAGGGAATGCTCCCCGTGGCTCTGGGAGAGGTGGGAACAAGGGAAAAGGGGATGGACACCCAATTTTGGGGGGTCCCCCCTGTCCCTGTGAGCCCCCTGGATTTGGGGGATTTGGGGCATCCCTGGAGTTCCTGAGCACCCCAAGAAGGGGCTTTTTTTTGGGAGCTCAGCTGGAGGGGTGACTGGGCTGGGATTTTTGGGGGAGGGACTCCATCCCTCCAGGGCTCCTCAGAGCTCCCCATGGAGGAGTCGGATCCCGGAATTCCCAGGGGGAAGAGAGGAAGGAGGAGCTCAGGTTCACACACGTCCAGGTCCATAGTGCAAAATTGGGGTCCACAGGTTTGGGAGGGGGTGGGGGTGAAAAGGGGGTCACAGGGGTGACCTGTGGGCAGGGGATGGTCCCCAAGTGTCCCCAAAGCCCCCCAAAACATCCCACCCGTGCCCATGGCCACGCTCCGGAGGGAGGGGAGCCGGGAAATCCTGGGAGGAGGCACAGGGAGGTCCCATCCCTGCTGGTCCCGGGCTGGAGAGGAGCTCCAGGAGCTCCAGGAGCTCCAGGAACCACCACCATCCACCCCCACAGCCAGCCCTTCCTTCCCTGGGGGACATCCCGGGACAAGGATCCGCCCCTTCCCACGGAGATCCCGGGACAAGGATCCGCCCCTTCCCACGGAGATCCCGGGATCTGCATCCATCCGCTCAGCCGGAGGGGTTGGGGGCCCTGCCACCCCCCCAGAGGGGTTTTGGGGCCCGGGTTTGGGGTCTCTGCGGGCACAGTCCGGGTTTGGGAGGGGGCTGGTGCCCCTCCCTCGGTCCCCAGCGATGGGCACGGCCCCGGGGGGGCTGCAGGAATTGTCCCTTCCGAGAGTCCAGGCCCTTCCTCGGCTTCGGGGAGTGAGGATGAGGAGGCCGAGGGGAAGGCAGGAGGGAAGGGCAGGTCCTGGGGCAGGGGACAGTCCCCACTGTCACTGGGCCATGGGCTCCTCCTCCTCCATCGGCTCCTCGGGCGCCCTGAGAGGGAGAAACACCAGTGAGGATTCCCGTGAGGATTCCTGGTGGGACACGGGACAGGCTCCCCCTCCACCCCCCAGGGCCTCCTGCAGGAATCCCAGAGCATCCCAAATTCCTGCCCAGCTGGGCCCAGGGAATGAGGGGCACCCAGGATCCATCAGGGAATGAGGGGCACCCAGACCCACTGAGATGAACCAGGATCCATCAGGGAATGAGGGGCACCCAGACCCCCCGGGATGGACCAGGATTCATCAGCTGGTACCCCCATGGGACACAGGGAATGAGGGACACCCAGGATCCCTCAGGGAATGGGGGCACCCAGACCCCCCGGGACAGACCAGGATCCACCAGCTGGCACCCCCATGGAACCCCAGGATCCCTCAGGGAATGAGGGACACCCAGACCCCCCGGGACGGACCGGGATCCATCAGGGAATGAGGGGCACCCAGACCCCCCGGGATGGACCAGGATCCATCAGCTGGCACCCCCATGGAACCCAAGGATCCATCAGGGAATGAGGGACACCCAGACCCACTGGGATGAACCAGGATCCATCAGCTGGCACCCCATGGAACCCCAGGATCCCTCAGGGAAGGGGGGGCACCCAGACCCCCCAGGAGGGACCAGGATCCATCAGCTGGCACCCCCATGGAACCCCAGGATCCATCAGGGAATGAGGGGCACCCAGAGCCCCCAGGAGGGACCAGGATCCACCAGCTGGCATCCCCATGGAACCCAAGGATCCATCAGGGAATGGGGGGCACCCAGACCCCCTGGGATGAACCAGGATCCATCAGGGAATGAGGGGGCACCCATGACCTCTGGGATGATGGATCCAGGATCCATCAGGGAATGAGGGGCACCCAGACCCCCTGGGATGAACCAGAATCCATCAGGGAATGAGGGGCACCCAGACCCCCTGGGATGAACCAGGATCCACCAGCTGGCATCCCCATGGAACCCAAGGATCCATCAGGGAATGAGGGGCACCCAGACCCCCCAGGAGGGACCAGGATCCATCAGCTGGCACCCCCATGGAACCCCAGGATCCATCAGGGAAGGGGGGGGGCACCCAGACCCCCCAGGAGGGACCAGGATCCATCAGCTGGCACCCCCATGGAACCCCAGGATCCATCAGGGAATGAGGGGCACCCAGACCCGCTGGGATGAACCAGGATCCATCAGGGAATGAGGGGCACCCAGACCCCCTGGGATGAACCAGGATCCATCAGCTGGCACCCACATGGAACCCCAGGATCCATCAGGGAATGAGGGGCACCCAGACCCCCCAGGACAGACCAGGACCCACCAGCTGGCCCCCCCAGGGGCCGAGGGGCTCCGGGGGCCTCACCTCTTCTCCACCATCACGGCCACGGAGAGCGAGGCCAGGGCCGTCACCGTCTCCACCTCGTCGGCCTCGTGGTCCCGCTGGGCCTCCAGGAAGGAGCAGCCGAGCTTGGAGGCGAAACGGTGCAGGGCCACCCAGTACCGGCCTGCGGGGCACGGGGGGCACGGGGTGGGCTCAGGTAGGGGTGTGGCACAACAGGGATACCCCAGGATAAGGGTGTTTTGGGATAGGGGTGACTTGGGATAGGGATATCCCAGCACAGGGATAATTCAGCACAGGGGTGTCCCAAGACAGGGATATCCCAGTACAGGGATATTCCCAGCACAGGGATATTCCAGGATAGGGATATTCCAGCACAGGGGTGTCCCAAGACAGGGATATTCCAGGATAGGGATGTCCCAGCACAGGGATATCTCAGGACAGGGGTATCCCAGCACAGGGATATCCCAGCACAGGGATGTCCCAGCACAGGGATATCCCAGCACAGGGATATTCCAGCACAGGGATATTCCAGCACAGGGATATTCCAGGATAGGGATATTCCAGCACAGGGGTGTCCCAAGACAGGGATATTCCAGGATAGGGATGTCCCAGCACAGGGATATCTCAGGACAGGGGTATCCCAGGACGGGGATATTCCAGCACAGGGATATTCCAGGGATGTCCCAGCACAGGGATGTCCCTCCCAACCCAACCACCCCATTATTCCCTGAAGTGACTCCTTGGAGCTCAGGGGATTCACTGCAGAGGGCAGGAAAGGCCCCTCCCCACCATTCCCCAACATTCCCAGCGTTCCCAAGGCCGGGACACTCACTCTGGACCTGGATCACGGCTTCCAGGGAGCGCACGGCGTTGGGGTTGGGCTTCTGCCTCAGGCTCTCCTCGGGAAGGGGATCCAGCTGGGAAGGAGGAGATTTTATACCCTCCATGTCTTTTATATCTTTTATATCTTTCATATATTTTAAACCTTTCATATCATACCTTTCATATCTTTCATATTTTTATATATTTTATATATGAGAGATATGAAATGTATAAAATAAAAATATATTTTTATATCTTATACATTATATATTTTATAAGAAAATATATTTATGTTTTATACATTTCATATCATATACATGTCATATTTTTATATTTTATACATTATATATTTTATATAAAAATATATTTATGTTTTATACATTTCATATCTATAGAAAATAAATAACATATAAAATATAAAAAATATATGTATACATTTCCTACCTCTCGTATCTTTATATATTTTGTATATTTTATATATTTCACACATCTTATACCTTTCACGTCTTATCTCTCATATCTTTCAGGTCTTTTATATTTTTTTTTTATATTTCATATCTTTTATATATTTCATACCTATTATACATTTTAACCATTTCATGTCTTTTACAGATTTCGTGTCTTTTACATATTTTATACCTTCAATACCTTTTATATATTTTGCATCTTGTCTATGTTTTATACATTTCCTACATTCCTTATCTTTCAGATCACAAAGTTAAGATAAAATCGAGGCTCTGGGGGTCCCGGGGTGCCCCCCCCTCACCTCGTTGCCCAGCAGGGCAGACACGCAGGCCTCGGAGGCGTCGCAGATGGCAGTGAGGTCGTGCCCCCCCTCCAGGGCCAGGACCACGGCCCCCCCCGCCAGGCTCATCAGCTGCTTCGTCATGTAGCCAAAACCTGGGGGGGGGGACACCTGTGAGACCCCCCCTGCCCAAAACTGAGACCCTCTCGGGGCACCCCCCGAGGGTCCCGAGTTCCCAAAACAGCCCTCACACAAGCACAGGAAACCCCCGGCCCCTGAGACCCCCTGAGACCCTCTGAGACCCTCTGAGACCCCCTGACACCCCCTGAGACCCCCTGACACCCCCTGAGACCCCCTGAGACCCCCTGAGACCTCCTGAGACCCCCTGAGAACCCCTGACAGAGCCCTGACACCTTCCTGGCACCTCCCAAGTCCCTGGCACAGCCCCCAGCCCCTGAGACCCTCTGACACCCCCTGTCACCCCCTGCCCCCCAAAGCCCCTGGCACTCCCTCAGCAACCCCTGACACCACCCTGGCACCCCAAAATCCCCTGGCACCCCCTGACACCCCCCTGGCACCCCTTTGTCACCCCCAGAGCCCCCAGCACAGCTTCCCTGGCACCCCATGAAGCCCCCAGCCCCTGGCACTCCCTGCCACCCTCTGACCACCCCCTGACCCCCCAAAAAAATCACATCCCCCAGCACAACCTCCCCCAGCCATCGCCCCGTGAAGGCCCCAAAACGGCGCAAAGACCCCCCCAAAGCGCGCAAAGACCCCCAAAATGCGCAAAGACCCCCCCAAAACGCACAAAGACCCCCCAGAGCCCCCCTTCCTTACACTTGGCCGAGACTTTGTAGCCCCCCAGGGGCGGGGGGTGCCCGTCGGCGGCGTCGAAGCCGGCAGAGACCAGCACGAGGTCGGGGCAGAACTCGTGGGCGATGGGCATCACCACCGTCCTGGGGAGGGGGCACAAAAACCCACGGCTGAGCCCCCCAGGGAGGGCAGGACACCCCCAGGGACACGGTGGGGGGTGGGGGGACACACACACAGGGTACCTGAAGGCAGCCAAGTACTCGGGGTCCCCCATGGGGGGGTCGAGCCCCCCAGCCCAGGCCACGTTGACGTTGAAGCCCTCGCCGGGGCCAGAGCCCACCTGGGGGGGAAAAAGAGGGGTGAGGGGGGGATGTGATCCGTGATGGGGGTGTCAGGGCATTGTCCTGCATCACAGGAGGCAGACTGGGGGTCCTGACCCCCTTCCCTGCACCACAGGAGGCAGATTGGGGGTCCTGACCCCCCCCCAAATCTTGTGCCAGCAGAGCCAAGCTGGGCGACCCAGGCAGGACCAGGGATGGGAAACAAGCCCCTCCCAGGGCACTCCCCCTGCTCAACCCCCCCACCCCATCCTGGCTGTCCCCTCTGTCCCCAGGGCTGTCCCCTCTGTCCCCAGGGCTCCAGAGCCCCCCCAGGGCTGCAGACCCCCCCCCAGGGCCTGTTCCCACCTCGTCAGCAGCTCCACTGCCAGGGAAGAAGTTGCCGTCGTCGTGGCGGTGCAGGGAGATGTAAAGGACCTCGGGGTCCCTGTAGAAGATCTGCTGGGTCCCATTCCCGTGGTGAACGTCCTGGAGGCGGGAAAATGGGGAGAATGGTCCGTGTTCCCCAGTGCCAGGCTGATTTGGGTCTGAGTTTTTGGGTCAAGAGCTGGATTTGGGTCTGAGTTTTCCCCCCCCAAGTCCCAGCTCCAGGATCTGCTCCTGCTCCCTTTGTTCCCAGGCAAAGGAGGAGGGTTTGCTGCTCCTGGGGACAGCCAGGGGAGGGCAGGGGACACAGGGGACACTCACCCAGTCCACGATGAGGATCTTGCTGAGCTTCCCCTTCTGCTGCAGCTGCCGGGCAGCGATGGCCACCGAGTTGAAGAAGCAGAACCCCCTGGGAAAAGGGGGCTGGAATCACAACCTGGGGGCCCTTCCCGGGCACCTCCCACGGGATTCCAGCAGGATGGGCTCTCCCTGCCCAGCCTGGCTCCCGGGGGAGGGGATCTGGGGGGCAAGGAGCCGCTTTTTGGGGTTCCTCGAGGGAGGGAAGGGGCCTTACATGGCAGTGGAAGGGTCGGCGTGGTGCCCGGGCGGCCGCACCACGGCAAAGCCGTTCTGGGGACAGAGCAGAGGGGACAGGGCTGGCACCCCCACGGCACACCCCAGTGTCACCCCCAGTGTCACAATACCCAGTGTCACCCCCATGGCACACCCCAGTGTCACCCCCCACTGTCACAATACCCAGTGTCACCCCAGTGTCACCCCCCGGTGTCACCCCCCAGTGTCACCCCCATGGCACACACCCAGTGTCACCCCCCAGTGTCACCCTCAGTGTCACACCCCCAGTGTCACACTCCCGTCACCTCCAGTGTCACCCCCCAGTATCACACACCTGATGTCACACACTTATCACCCCCAGTGTCACACCACTGTCACCCTCAGTGCCACACCACTGTCACCCCCAGTGCCACACCCCCAGTGTCACCCCCAGTTCACCCCCAGTGTCACACACCTGTGACCCCCAGTGCCACACCACTGTCACCCCCAGTGCCACACCCCCAGTGTCACCCCCCAGTGTCACCTCCCATTGTCACACACCCACTTATCACCCCCAGTGCCACACCCCCACTGTCACCCCCAGTGCCACACCACTGTCACACCCTGTGTCACACCCCCAGTGCCACACCACTGTCACCCCCCGTGCCACCCCTCCCTCCACCCCTCCCTGTGCCCAGATCTGGGGTGACACCACTCCGGGCCCCCAGGGTGACACTCCACGTGCCCCCCCTCCCCATCGCCCACCTTGAGCTCCCTGGTGGCCACCTTGAAGGCCAGCTCGGTGACGCTGCCAGCGGCCCAGCGGGCAGCGTTGGACGAGTGCAGCTCGTTCCAGATGGTGTCACTGTCCACCTGAGATTGGGGACATCTGTCACACGGGGCGGGGGGGGTGACCTCGGTCACGGGGGGGCCACTTTTGGGGGGAGTGGTGGCCGCTCTTGGTCTTGTGGTGGCCAAAGGGGTCACCTGGGGCCACCTCCCACGTGCCACGGGGGTCACCACCCACCTCTGGGTACTGCTGGATTGGGTGGGGGGGGTCACCTCCTGCTGCCCCCAGGCCACCACACCCCCATCCATCCCCCCACCCCGTGGGGCTCGTTACCTTCTGTGATTAATTTTGGGGTCCGACCAAACCCCGGGGTTTGAGCGGGGCGGGAACACCCAAAGGCTCTTCCGATGGATCAGCCCCCCCTGCCCCGGGCGGGGGGCACGGGCAGAGCAGAGCAGGGAGGGGGAGGCAGAGCAGGGAAAGCAGAGCTGGAGCCCAGCAGGGCACGAGGAGAGCGGGAGAACCAGGAGAGGCAGCAGGAAGGCTTGGAATGAGGCCCTTCCTGGAAGAGAGAGAGAGAAAAAGAGAGAGAGAAAAAGAGAGAGAGAGGAAGGACAGGGACAGGGAAGGAGGAAGAGAGAGGAGGAACAGTGAGTGCAGGGACACCAGCAGGGCAAAGCTGGGGACAGAGGGATGGGCTGGAGAGGAGGGGAGAGCTGTCCCCATGTCACCACTGCCCTCCCTCGGTGACACGGGGGGGTACAGCTCGGGGACCCCCAGACACAGCTCTGGGACCCCCAGATACAGTTCTGGGACCCCCAGGGTGACACAGCTCAGGGACCCCTGGACATCTCTGGGACCCCCAGGGTCACACAGCTCTGGGACCCCTGGACACCTCTGGGACCTCTGGACACCTCTGGGACCCCCAGGGTCACACAGACCCCATCTGGGACCCCATCCCCACTGCCAGCTCCCCCCCAGCTCTTGGCCATGCCTGCCTGGGGGGGGCTCAGGGCTGCTGGTCCCCGAGGTGAGGGGGCACAAAGGACCCCCTGCAAGGGTGGGATGCCCTGAGAACGGGGAGAAGCTCTGACACACCAGAGCCGACCCTTTCCCCCACCCTGGGGCTGCCATTCCCCGCTGTCCTGAAGCTCCTGAGGGACGAGAGGAAGGAAGGGGGGAAGGAGGGAAGGAGCCTCCCCCTAAAAACCAAGCAGGGCTGCAGGACTTACCCCCACCCCTCCGCAGGGCAGCATCACAAACATCCGCTGGGACAGGATCCCTGCGGGCAGAGGGGACACTGAGGACACAGGGGGGGCTTGGGTGAGGGGGAATGCTCATCCATGGCTGGGAGCAGCACCCAGGGGAGCTGCTGGGGGTGCTCCAGGAGCTGTAGGGACCCCAGACCCACCTGCCAGCTTCCCATTGTCCAGTTTGAGGCGGTTGAGGGGGTTGGTGCCGTAGAGGAACACGTGGCGCTCGCTGTGGACACACTGCAGCTCCTCCAGGGTGGCCTTGCGGCCCCTCAGGCACTGGGGGAGGCACAGAGGGGGCTGTCACCGAGCTGGGGGGGTGACACAGCTGCTCCCACCCTATTTCCCCCCAGGGTGAGGGTGGCACATCCAGGGCAGCAGCCCTGGGGGCTCAGCTCCTGCTCCTCACAGGGGGGTTTGGGGTTGGACACCCCCTCCCAGTGACATCCAGGGGTCTGGGAGGGAGCTCAGGATTCCCTGAGCTGGGCAAGGACCCACCAGGACCACCCTCAGCCCCCTCCCCGCCCCCCTCACCTCGCAGCGGCCCCGCAGCCCCCGCTCCTGCAGGCGGGACCAGATGCTCTGGATCCTCCCGGCGTGCTCGGGGTGGTTGCTGTTGTCCCCACAGGAGCACTGGTGCTTCAGCATCACCGAGTCGTACACCAGCCCTGCCACACACACCCAAACCGTGTGGGGGGGGGCTCCATCCCAAACCACGGAGCCTCTGTCCCAAAAAATGGTCCTCTCTGTCCCAAAAAACAGGTCTCTCTATCCCAAACCAGGGGGTCTCTCTATCCCAAACCAGGGGGTCTCTCTATCCCAAACCAGGGGGTCTCTCTATCCCAAATCAGGGGGCCTCTCTATCCCAAACCAGTTGGCCTCTCTATCCCAAACCAGGTGGTCTCTCTATCCCAAACCAGGGGGTCTCTCTATCCCAACACGCTCCAAGCAAATCCTGCCTTGAATTCCTAAGGGAGACAGACCCTGAAAGCAGCCAAGAGGCCAAAAGTCCTGCTTGGAAAAGCCACCTGAGCTCAAAAGAAAAACTCGGGACCCTCAAGGCTTGTTCCCATCCCTCCCACATCTCCTGGGGCTGGCAGTGACCGGGACTGGTGCCAGGGTTGCCCTGGGGACACCCCTGGGTCCCCTCCAGAGCCCCCCCAGGTACCTGTGGTGAAGTGTGGCTTTGCTGGCTGCTCCTGCACGGGCAGGGCCAGGGTCTTGGGGGTGTCCTGGGCAGGGAGGGACACGCTGGCAGTGGCAGGGGACGACTGTGCCCTGGAGAGGGGTCTGTGCCCCGTGGGGACCACGGGGGGGTCCAAGGGCTGGCGCTTGAGGAACTGCTGCTGCACCCGCTGGTACGAGTCCCACAGATAGGCCTGGGGAGTGGGGGCACAGAGACCACCCTGAGGGGCGTGCAGGGCACGGGGGAGGGGGTCCTGCAGCCCTAAACCGTGCTGGGGGTTTGGAGGAGCTGGGACAATGTCCCGGTGTCTGCTGCTCTCTGCTGGCTCAGCCCCGCAGTGCCGGGCTGGGGACAAACCCCGGCGATTTGGGGACAAAACCAGAGATTTGGGGACAAAGATCAGCGATCTGGGGACAAACAGCGATTTGGGGACAACAACCAGAGATTTGGGGACAAACAGCAGCGATTTGGGGACGAACAGCAGCGATCTGGGGACAACAGCAGCGATCTGGGGACAACAACCAGAGATTTGGGGACAAACAGCAGCGATTTGGGGACGAACAGCAGCGATTCGGGGACAATGCTCAGCGATTTGGGGGGACGGATGCTTGGCAGTGTGATGACAACGCCCAGCAATGTGGGGAACAAAGTCCAGCAATTTGGGGGCGATTCCCAGCAATTTGGGGACAAAATCCAGCAATTGGGGGGCGATTCCCAGCAATTTGGGGACAAAATCCAGCAGTTTGGGGACAATGCCCAGCAGTTTGGGGACGATGCAGAGGGAGGGACATGAAGCTCAACCTCACCCTCCTTCAGCCCAATCCCGATCCCGTTAAGAGGTTCCAAACCCACCCCCAGTGCCCCTCCCTTTGCCCAGATCCCCCCTCCCCGGGGTCTGTGCCCACCCCTGGCAGCCCCCTCCCCGGACCTGCTGCAGGACCAGCTCGTCCTGAGGCTGCAGCACCTTCTGCGTCCTCTCGGGCTCCTTCCCGCTGCTGCCCGGCCTGGAGGGCTCCACGCGTGTCCTGGTAGGGTCAGCGCCCTCCGGGGCAGCCTCGGGGAGGGTCCCCTCGGCCTCCATGTCCTCCGAGGATGGGATCTGCCGCAGCCGGGGCTTCTCGCTCGGCTTGGCCATGCGCTGCAGCCCCGGGGACAGGGAGGGGACAGGGAGGGGACAGGGAGGGGACAGTGAGCACCCAGACGGGACAGGGAGGGGACAGAGCACAAAGAGGACACCCCGTTCCAGGAGGGCTCAGCCTCTCCCAGAGCCACCCCAGAAACCTCCTCCTGAGTTGGAAGGGACCCACCAGGACCATCCCAAGTCCAGCCCTCAGCCCTGCCCAGCACACCCCCAAAACCCCACCCTGTGCCCCAGAGGATCATCCAAACCCTCCCTGAGCTCTGGCAGCCTCGGGGCTGTGCCCACCGCCCTGGGGAGCCTGTTCAGTGCCCAACCACCCTCTGGGGGAAGAACCTTTTCCCAAAATCCAACCTAACCCCCCTGGCACAGCTCCAGGCTGTTCCCTGGTCCCCCAAGAGCAGATCACAGGGTCTGCCCCTCCTGAGGATGTTGCAGACCCCAGTGAGGTCCCCCCTCAGCCCCCTCTGGACACACCCAGCGCCCTCAGCCCCTCGAGGACCATCCCTCCTCCCGTCTTGTCTCACCTTGCCCAGGTGTGTTTGCTGCTTGAGCCTCTCCAGGAACTGGGTGTGGTGCTGCTGGTACACCAAGTGCTGCTGGATGGCCTTGGGGTTCTGGGGCAGCGGCTCCGAGCGGGTCCTGCCCAGCGGTTTGTGGTGCCCGGGCAGCGAGAGCCGCTCCGCGGGGATGAGGGAGGGGCCGAAGGGGAAGGGCACCGTGCCCAGGCCTGGCACTGCAAGGGACAGGAGGGGGAGACAGCTGAGGGGCAGAGGGGACACCCAGCTGCCACCCCACAGCAGCCCTGTCTGTGCCCACCTCACTCGGAGTGACCACAGAACCCGCCCGGCGGGAAGGGACCCACCAGGACCACCTCGAGTCCAACCCTCAGCCCTGCCCAGGGCACCCCCAAAATCCCACCCTGTGCCCCAGAGGATCATCTGAACGCTCCTGGAGCTGTGGCAGCCTCGGGGCTGTGCCCACTGCCCTGGGGAGCCTGTTCAGTGCCCAACCACCCTCTGGGGGAAGAACCTTTTCCCAAAATCCAACCTGAACCTCCAGGCCATTCCCTGGTACCCCCCAGAGCAGAGCTCAGGGCCTGCCCCTCCTGAGGATGTTGCAGACCCCCATGAGGTCTCCCCTCAGCCTCTTCTGCTCCAGCTGGACACACCAAGCACCCCCAGCCCCTCCAGGCCCTTCCCCACCATCGCTGCCTCTTTTGGTCGCTCTCGAACAGTTCAGAAATCTTTTGGTGCCCCTAACACCCCAAAATTGCAGGTGAGGCCACAGGGCGGGACAATCCCCTTCCAGTGCCCCTCCCTAGGACGGGGAGGTCCCTCCTGGCCACCCATCACCCCCCCATGCCCTGGCACCGCTCTCCAGCACCTCGTCCCCAGTGTCCCCCCCCCAAGCCCTCACCTGCCACCAGCGGGGCGTGTGTGACCGAGGGCTCGAGGATGATGAGGGGCTGCAGCCGGGGGGACAGGGGCTCGTGCTGCTCCAGCCCGGCGGGGATGAACACGGGCGAGTGGCTGCCCGGCAGCACCGGCCCGTTCAGCACCGGCACCCGGTGCGCCAGGCTGGGCAGGGGCCGGCGCTCCCCCTCGCCCTGGGCACGGGAGGAGGAGGAGGAGGAGGAGGAAGGCTGGGTCAGCACAGCACGAGGAGGGGACGTCACATCCTCCAGGGCAGCACCAGCAACCCCAAACCCAACAGGGACCCCAGACCCAGCAGGGACCCCAAACTCAGCAGGGACCCCAGACCCAATAGGAACCCCAAACCCAATAGGAATCCCAAACCCAATAGGAACCCCAGACCCAATAGGAACGCCAAACCCAGCAGGAAGGGCTTTTCCTGGAACTCCAAACCCATCAGGAACCCCAAACCCAACAGGAAGGGCTTTTCCTGGAACTCCAAACCCATCAGAAACCCCAAACCCAACAGGAGGGGCTTCTCCTGGAATCCCAAACCCATCAGGAACTCCAGACCCAATAGGAACCCCAAATCCAATAGGAACCCCAAACCCAGCAGGAAGGGCTTCTCCTGGCACCCCAAACCCAGCAAGAACCCCAAACCCAACAGGAAGGGCTTCTCCTGGCACCCAACAACCAAAAGGAACCCCAAGCCCAACAGGAACCCCAGTCCCACCAGGAGGGGCTGCTCCTGCCCCCCACGGGGCCCGTTTCGGGTGCCTACCCTGGCGCTGGAGGTGGCTGGCAGCCCCAGGGTGATGGCTGGCAGGGAGGCCGCGCTCTGCAGGGCGAACTGGGCCAGGGAGCTCTCCTGCATCATCAGCCGCTGGGCCAGGGGGGGCTGCAGTGACACCAGCAGCTCTCAGAGCCCTCAGAGGCTCGGGGGGCACCGGCACCCCCGGGCAGGGGGGGATTGGGGGGGGTGGCTGAGCCCCAGCTGCCTGTGGGGACACCCAGGGCCAGGGCAAGGGACACTGGGGACACCCAGGGGGACACCCAGGGGGACAGGGAATGCACTCTGGGAAGGGGGCTGGGAGCAGGGGACACCCATGGGGACACCCAGGAGGACAGTAAACACAGTAGGGGACAGGGAATGCCCTCTGGGAAGGAGGGCTGGGAGCAGGGAGAGCAGGGAATGCGGTCAGTGGGGCCGGGATGGAGCTCCCTGGGATGTGGGGGGACCCAAGCCCGGGCTGGGAAGGGGAGCTGAGGATCCCCAGGCTGGGAAGGGGAGCTGAGGAGTCCCAGGTTGGGAAGGGGAGCTGAGGATCCTGGGCTGGGAAGGGGAGCTGAGGATTCCTGGGCTGGGAAGGGGAGCTGAGAATCCCTGGGCTGGGAAGGGGAACTGAGGATCCTGGGCTGGGAAGGGGAACTGAGGATCCTGGGCTGGGAAGGGGAGCTGAGGATCCCTGGACTGGGAAGGGGAGCTGAGGATCCTGGGCTGGGAAGGGGAGCTGAGGATCCTGGGCTGGCAGAGCTCACCTCATGGGCCATTCCCGAGGCGCTGGGAAGGGCTCCGTGCTCCGAGGGGAGGCTGTCGTTGGGGGAGCTGCACCCGGACACGGGGGTGCTGCTGCTGCTGGGGGACGAGTCTGGGGGGTGGGGGGGAGACACACAATGGGGGTGAGGGGCACAGCCCCCCAGAGGAAGGGCTGCCCAGCCCTTTATTGCCCTCCCAGAGCTGCCCCCCACCCTCCAGAGGGGTCCAATTCCCCCTGGGAGCCGCCCCACCGGGCACAGGAAGCACCCCCAGGGCGAGGAACCCCGAGCAGCCACATCTGCCCAGGGCCTGGGACCTTCCCAGACCTCGCAGGTCCACCCTGGACCCCCCAAAAGCTGCAGGGGTGATGCCCTCCCCTGGCTCAGAGCCCCACTCAGCTCCGAGCAGAGGCTGCAGGGCAGGGATCCAGCTCCCCCTGGGATCTGGGCAGGCTGTGGGTGCCCCAGGATGACCCCAAAGCCCATCCCAAACCCCGCTCTGGGCCGGGGTCTCACCGAGGGCGTCGGGCGGGCGCCTCTTGAGCGAGGGGGGAGCGCTCTCCTTGCGGGTCAGGGGGTTCTTGCGCCGGTCCAGGCACTTCCTGGGCTTGCACCGCACCTTCAGGTTGGGCTCAGACGCTGCCAGGGGAGCACAGGGGGGGGATTCAGGCCTGGCCCCCACCCTGGGCGGGCTGGGTGGGCTCAGTTCCCAGCTCCTGGGAGGGATTTGGTGTTACCCCCATGTTATCTCCTCCCCACACACACACACAAAAAAAAAAGGACTGACCTGTTTTCCGCAGAGGAAAATGCTCCGGGGGGTCCAGAGGTGCGCTGGGGACGGGGGGCAGGAAGGTGCTGAGCACGGCAGGGGGGGGCCCCTCGGGGTCCAGAGGCTCCAGAGACCTACAGGGAGACCCCCCAGTCCTCATCAGAGCCCCTTCCCAGCTGAGCTGTCCCGGGTTTTTGGGGAGTGTCCCCCCACCCTGGGGGGCTGGAGGACGCCGAGGTGTCACCTGTAGGGCAGGGCTGGGGGGTTGGGGTTGCTGCTCCTCTCCAGGGCCGCCTGCTGCTTCTTGAGGATGACCTCGGCCAGCTTCTGCTTCACCACCGTGCTGGCCACGGCACCTGAGGGACCAGCAGGGCTGGGGAGGGTCCCTGTGGGACCCCCACAGCTCCCACGGGCAGAGAGGGGGGGCTCGGGGGCACCGGGGTGGGCGCAGCTGCACCTCTGGGTGCCAGGCAGAGCCCCGAAATCGGGAGCACATTCCAAAACATCCAGCCCCTCCCACCCAGTTCCACCCGTGCCGGCACCAGATGGCGCCGGGAGATCGCGGATGGAGGGGCTGCAAACCCATCCTGGGGGTCCCACTGAGCCCTGCTGGGGACAGGGGGGCTGCAAACCCAGCCCGGGGGTCCCACTGAGCTCTGCCATGGACAGGGGGGCTGCAAACCCATCCTGGGGGTCCCACTGAGCTCTGCCATGGACAGGGGGGGCTGCAAACCCATCCTGGGGGTATCACTGAGCCCTGCTGGGGACAGGGGGGCTGCAAACCCATCCTGGGGGTCCCATTGGGCTCTGCCATGGACAGGGGGGCTGCAAACCCAGCCCGGGGGTCCCACTGAGCTCTGCCATGGACAGGGGGGCTGCAAACCCAGCCCGGGGGTCCCACTGAGCTCTGCCATGGATGAGGGGGCTGCAAACCCATCCTGGGGGTCCCACTGAGCTCTGCCATGGACAGGGGGGCAGAACCTCCCTGTAGGAGCCCCTCTGATCTCCCTCTCCCCCCACCATGATCCAACCCCCGATTTTGGGGGGCCAGGGGGCAGTGAATTTGGGGCCTTACTTCGCTTGCTCTTGTCCTTGTTGAGGATCTGCCTCAGCTCCTGCTCCTGCTGCCCCGGCTCAGCCTCGTGGTGCGGGGACTCCATGGCCACCTGTGGGGACAAGGACGTGGGCACTGGAACCCCTCCCCCCCAGTCCTGCCCCAAAACCCCTCTGGAGACCCCCCAGTCTCACCCAGCACGGTCCCAAACTCCGAAGCGCCGGCTTCTCACCCAAATATCCCCCCCAAAAAACCCCCCCTCCATACCCTGACGTGCTGGTGGGCGAGCTGCTCCACTTGCTGCTGGTGGAGGCTGGCCAGGAAGAGCTGGTGCTGGAGCTGCTGGGTGTGCTTGAGGGCCAGCAGGGCCGTGTCCGAGCCGGGCTTGACCACGCGCTGCCCGATCCTCAGGTCCATGGGGACGGCCTGGGGCACCCGTGGGGAGGTGCAGGGGCTCACGGCGGCTGTGGGGACAACACCGGGGTGGGATCAGTCACTGCCAGGCTCGGAGAAGCCCAGGACTCGGGATCAGGGATGATCCCGCCCGGGAGGGACGTGGGGGTGGGCGGGTTGGAATGTCCTGGCATGACCTCCTGGAACAGTCCCGCTCACACACCTGAAACAGCCCAGTTATATACCTGAAATAGTCCATTTACACACCTGTAACAGCCCAGTTACACACCTGAAAAAGCCCAGTTATACACCTGAAATAGTCCAGTTATACACCTGAAATAGTCCCAGTTATACACCTGAAATAGTCCATTTACACACCTGAAATAGTTCATTTACACACCTGAAATAGTCTCAGTTATACACCTGAAATAGTCCAGTTACACACCTGAAATAGTCCCAGTTATATACCTGAAATAGTCCATTTACACACCTGAAACAGTGCCAGTTACACACCTGAAATAGTCCCAGTTATACACCTGAAATAGTCTCAGTTATACACCTGAAATAGTCCAGTTATACACCTGAAATAGTCCAGTTATACACCTGAAATAGTCCCAGTTACACACCTGAAATAGTCTCAGCTATACACCTGAAACAGCCTAGTTATGCACCTGAAATATTTCCAGTTATACACCTGAAATAGTCCAGTTTTACACCTGAAATAGTCCCAGTTATACACTGAAATACTCCCAGTTATACACCTGTAACAGCCCAGTTATACACCTGAAATAGTCCATTTACACACCTGAAATACTCCCAGTTATACACCTGAAATAGTCTCAGCTACACACCTGAAATATTTCCAGTTATACAGCTGATACAGTGCCAGTTACACACCTGAGCCCATCCCATTTTTCCCCCCCATGGAGCACCCGCTGCCCCAGGGGATTTCCCCCAAAATCCGTGCTTAATTTACCCCTAATTTACCGCGTGCAGGACAGAACCACCCCCGGCCTCAGGCACTGTGGGAGGCCCTGACCTTGCCAGGGCTTCCTCCAGGGTTCCCTCCCCTCTCCACCTCCCTGATAACAGCCTGGGATTTAATTTGTCCCCGGCTAATGGGCTCTAATTGCGGCACCCCGTGATGATGGGGAGGGCGATGGAGATCCCACAGCCACAGCCTGGAAGCTGCTGAGCTCCTGTTCAGCTCCCCACGGGATGTGGGATCCAGGGGACCAGGGGGAGGGCACTGCAGGGGGCTCCGGGAATCCCCCTCCCTCATTTTAAGGCTTTCCAAAAACGAGCCCCGAGGCAGTGGAGGAGCAGAAGTGGGAGGAAGGGAAGGCCAGGCAGGAGCCAGCAGCCAGAAAAACAACTCCTCAGCTCCTCAGCCCGAGCCAGGAAAAAGCCTGTCGAGCATCCCCGGGGCCAAGAGGCTCCCGAGCCTGGACCCTCCTCCTGCCCCCCACCCCAGCCCTGCCCATCCCACACGGCTGGGGATGCCTGGGACGGAGTTTTTTTAGGAGGTGGGAAAAAGAGAGGGGATTAAAGGAGGCACAGTGGGAGTGGGGATGGACCTGGGGTGACCTGGGGTGATGCAGGAGTCCCTGCCTGCATCCCTGCCTGTATCCCTGCCTGCATCCTGTCTGCATGCCTGCCTGCATCCCTGCTTGTATCCCTGCCTGCATCCCTGCCTGCATCCTGCCTGTATCCCTGCCTGCATCCCTGCCTGTATCCCTGCCTGTATCCCTGCCTGCATCCCTGCCTGCATCCCTACCTGCATCCTGCCTGCATCCCTGCCTGTATCCCTGCCTGTATCCCTGCCTGCATCCCTGCCTGCATCCCTGCCTGCATCCCTGCCTGCATCCCTGCCTGTATTCCTGCCTGTATCCCTGCCTGCATCCCTGCCTGTATCCTTGCCTGTATCCCACATGGTGAGGAGTCTCCCCGAGGCTGAGCAGCACCCAGAGCCAGGGTGGGTGTTTTTTAATAACCCCTCTCCTTTATAAACTTTAAAAAACCTTCATAAACCTTCATAATCCGCCCTCCCACCTCCCCCTCCCTCGCCGGGAAGGGCTCAGAGTTCACCGGGGTGGAGGAACTGAAAACGTTTCTGCCCGGGATGAAAGGATAAAAGGTCTTTTCTCCGGAGCCGCTCCCAGGGAAGGAAAAGGAGCCGGAGGGGGGGAATTCGCTCAAATTAAAAAACACTTAAGGAGGAGAAACCACACGAAAGGGCCTCTGCTGAAAGCACGGGGAGATCACAAAGGGGGAGCTCGAGAAATAGGAAATCCCAGAGTCATTCTGGAGTCAGCCCGGAGTCGGGCACCTCGTGTGACCCCGCCCTGCCCTCGGGGCTCTGGGTTTAATCAGGGACAAAAACGCTGCTCCCCACAAAAAATCCCGGCAAAACCAGCACCCCCCAGCTCTGGGGGTGGGGCCCAGGGCTTTTTTTTGGGGGGTAGTCAGTGCCCAGCCCTCCCCACTTCCCTTTGCTCCCCAGCTCCGGGAAAGGAGCTCCAGGGATGGCAGATCCTTGGAAAGGAGCTCCAGGGATGGCAGCTCCCAGGAAAGCCCTGCCCCACCACGGCTGTCAATCCCTCAGCCAAGGCAATCCCGACCCTGCGCCACATGAAATGACCCCAAAAGCCCCAAAACCTTGAGCGAGGACACGAACTCCACCTCGGGCAGGGCTTAAACCACCCAACAACTTCCTTCCTGCCACGCAGGAGCTCCCAGAGGGGACGGAGCGACCTGCACGAGCTCCCCGGGTGGGTTTTCGAAGCCTCCAGAACCCCCTCGAGCCGAGAAGGCAAAACCACGAGTGGGGAAAAGGGGCGATTTCGGCGGGGTTTGGGGCCTAAATTTGGGGTGGGTGGCTGGCAGAAGGAGCCAAATCCTAAACCACAGCAGGCAGGGCTGGGCACAACCCACGGGTCCCCACAGGACGTGGCTGGAGCGTGGGCAGCACGAGGTGGGGCTGAGGAGCTTCATCGGGGACCAGGGGGATGGTGAGTGGGTTCTGGCAGGGCTGGAAACCTCTGGCAGTCATTTCGGGCCATCAGCCACCTGGATGATCCCAAAGCCCACCCCAAAGAGCGGCAGGAGGGTCCGGGGAGCGCGAGATGTCCCCAGGAAACCTCGGAGCAGCCGTGGCTTCGTGCTCCTCCTCACCACCCTCTCCTCGGGACACGGCTCTGGGTCTGATCCCGAAAAAATCCAGGGGTGAAAATGGGTGGGTCCCCCCAGCCCTGCCCGAGCTGGGACTCCCCTGGTGTCCTCCAACAGCCCCATGTCCCTCCCTCAGCGGGCTCCTGGCCGGCCCTAGAGCCTCGGCATCCAGCACGGATCCCCTCCGGGCACGGGCTCCGTCCGGCACCGCTCCTGGCACCGCCGGCTGCTCCGGGGCGCTGCTGTCCCCTCGGGAAGGTGCCAGCAGAGCCCAGTGCCAGTGGAGCCCGGTGCCAGCGCAGCCTGGTGCCAGCAGAACCCGGTGCCAGCACAGCCCAGCGCTCCCGGGAAGCGGCGGCGGCTCCTCCGGGCACGGGACGGACGCCTCTCCTTCCCCGCCCGGGCTCCGATTGCATCAGCACGAGAGGATGCGGCCTCGCTGCCAAGGGAAGCAGCGGAGGGAAGAGATCAAAGGGCTCCAGAGCCTCTCCTGGATCGGCAGCCCTTTGCAGGGGCGGGAGGGGTGGGGGAGGAGGAGAGAGTTCCCGGTGCTCCCGACCGGTTTGGAAGGTTTGGAAGGGGGCTCGGCAGCACCTCCCACCCCCCCCACACAGCCCACCCTGCTGCTGAGACACCCACGGGTGGGCACGGCGTGGGTTGGGGTCTGGGTGACCCCTGGGGCAAGGGGGGGGGGGCTCTCCTGGCAGTGCCACAAAATCTTTGTTGTTCTAGTGGCTGTGTGTGACACCAGAGCCCAGCTTGAGTCACAACCCTCGCCCACCCGCCAGGACACGGCTCAGGGCTCTCCAAAGCTTGGTCTGGAAGTGATGAGACCCTCCAAAAACAAAAAAAGCCTGGATTGCCACGATGCTCATTCCCAGCAAGTGCCTCCTGCCCGTGGATTGGAGCCTCGCTGGGAGCTGCCCAGGAGGAAACCCCCCCTGGCAAACACCGGCCCAGGGCAGAGTCGGGCACGAAAAGAGAATTTAAGACAAAAAAAAAACCCCTCAGGCCCAGCAGGTAAAGGAACTGCGAGGAACAGAGGCAGTCCCGACCCAGCAGGAACGGGATCCATCCCAGGCAAAGAGGCACGAAGGGAATTCCCTCCGTGTGCGGATCCAGAAGCGCCAGCAGGGCCACCCTGCCCCGTGCTGAGCACCAGGGGCTGGGGAGAGGAGCCTGCAAGGAGCTCCCCTGGGAGAGCAGAGAGCTGGGGGTGAGAGTTATTTGTGTCAGAGGACGGGAAGCCACAAGGTTTTCGGTTCCCTGCCCCGAGACGCTCCCGGTGTCCTTTCCCCTCCCTAGGTCCACCTGGCTGGGGCTGCTCGGGAAGGAGCTGGGAAAGCTCTGCCTTTGGCTCAGGGAGCAGCTGGACGAGGTGCAGGGGCAGAGAGGGATCAAACCCGCCCTGGATCCAACGGGGGACAGCGGTGACAACCGCCTGGGACAAACCTGGGTTCCCCCGGGGAAGGGATCCACCACCCGGAATTCCATCCGGGATGAAGGAGCTGCAGGGGAACAGCTACGGGGCGAGGACGCCGGGAAGGATTCCCGGGGAAAAGAGCTGTGGAGGGGCGTGAAGAAATCCAGGAGGACCTGGAGCCTGCCCAGGGAAGAGCAGGAGCGAGGAAAAGCCCCGGAGGAGGCCTCGGTCCCGCTGAGGTGGCAGAACACGGGGACAGAGGGTGCGGTGGGTGTGGGCCCCACATGGAGCAACGCTGCCCTGGGGGGGTTAACCCAGAAAGAGGGATTAATCCCTCTTGGATGAGGAGGGAAAGGAGAATGAACAGAGCAGACAAACGAGCCCAGGGCGGCCGGGACGACTCGAGTTGTAACTCCGTGAGGGGTTTGAGGGATTTGAGCCCTCGGAAGCTCTCGGGATCAGAGCTGGAGTCAGCCC